GTTAAGGCAGCATGAACCTGTTCACCTCCAGTAAAGAATACATTAATTGTGCGTGCGTGATAATTTATGTATGTACTTATTGTTCTCAACAGTTTTGTACTATTACCTGGAGTTTACCTGAAGAGAGTTCCGGGGTCAACGCCCCCGCGGCCCGGTCTGTGACCAGGCCTCCTGGTGGATCAGAGCCTGATCAACCAGGCTGTTATTGCTGGCTACACGCAAACCAACGTACGAGCCACAGCCCGGCTGATCAGGAACCGACTTTAGGTGCTTGTCCAGTGCCAGCTTGAAGACTGCCAGGGGTCTGTTGGTAATCTCCCTTATGTATGCTGGGAGGCAGTTGAACAGTTTCGGGCCCCTGACACTTATTGTATGGTCTCTTAACGTGCTAGTGACACCCCTGCTTTTCATTGGGGGGATGTTGCATCGTCTGCCAAGTCTTTTGCTTTCGTAGTGAGTGATTTTCGTGAGCAAGTTCGGTACTAGTCCCTCTAGGATTTTCCAGGTGTATATAATCATGTATCTCTCCCGCCTGCGTTCCAGGAAATACAGGTTCAGGAACCTCAAGCGCTCCCAGTAATTGAGGTGTTTTATCTCCGTTATGCGCGCCGTGAAGGTTCTCTGTACATTTTCTAGGTCAGCAATTTCACCTGCCTTGAAAGGTGCTGTTAGTGTGCAGCAATATTCCAGCCTAGATAGAACAAGTGACCTGAAGAGTGTCATCATGGGCTTGGCATCCCTCGTTTTGAAGGTTCTCATTATCCATCCTGTCATTTTTCTAGCAGATGCGATCGATACAATGTTATGGTCCTTGAAGGTGAGATCCTCCGACATGATCACTCCCAGGTCTTTGACGTTGGTGTTTCGCTCTATTTTGTGGCCAGAATTTGTTTTGTACTCTGATGAAGATTTAATTTCCTCGTGTTTACCATATCTGAGTAATTGAAATTTCTCATCGTTGAACTTCATATTGTTTTCTGCAGCCCACTGAAAGATTTGGTTGATGTCCGCCTGGAGCCTTGCAGTGTCTGCAATGGAAGACACTGTCATGCAGATTCGGGTGTCATCTGCAAAGGAAGACACGGTGCTGTGGCTGACATCCTTGTCTATGTCAGATATGAGGATGAGGAACAAGATGGGAGCGAGTACTGTGCCTTGTGGAACAGAGCTTTTCACCGTGCCTGCCTCGGACTTTACTCTGTTGACTACTACTTTCTGTGTTCTGTTAGTGAGGAAATTATGGATCCATCGACCGACTTTTCCTGTTATTCCTTTAGCACGCATTTTGTGCGCTATTACGCCATGGTCACACTTGTCGAAGGCTTTTGCAAAGTCTATATATATTACATCTGCATTCTTTTTGTCTTCTAGTGCATCTAGGACCTTGTCGTAGTGATCCAATAGTTGAGACAGACAGGAGCGACCTGTTCTAAACCCATGTTGCCCTGGGTTGTGTAACTGATGGGTTTCTAGATGGGTGGTGATCTTGCTTCTTAGGACTCTTTCAAAGATTTTTATGATATGGGATGTTAGTGCTATCGGTCTGTAGTTCTTTGCTGTTGCTTTACTGCCCCCTTTGTGGAGTGGGGCTATGTCTGTTGTTTTTAGTAACTGTGGGACGACCCCCGTGTCCATGCTCCCTCTCCATAGGATGGTAAAGGCTCGTGATAGGGGCTTCTTGCAGTTCTTGATGAACACGGAGTTCCATGAGTCTGGCCCTGGGGCAGAGTGCATGGGCATGTCATTTATCGCCTGTTCGAAGTCATTTTGCGTCAGGATAACATCAGATAGGCTTGTGTTAACCAAATTCTGTGGCTCTCTCATAAAAAATTCATTTTGATCTTCGACTCTCAGTCTGGTTAGTGGCTTGCTAAAAACTGAGTCATCTGTGGTGTCATCTGTGTAGGACCCATCTTGTTTAAGTAAGGGCCCAATACTGGACGTTGTTCTCGACTTTGATTTGCCATAGGAGAAGAAATACTTTGGGTTTCTTTCGATTTCATTTATGGCTTTTAGTTCTTCCCGCGATTCCTGACTCCTATAAGATTCCTTTAGCTTAAGTTCGATGTTTGCTATTTCTCTGACCAGTGTCTCCCTACGCATTTCAGATAGATTGACCTCTTTTAGCCGCTCTCATTCTTTTCCGTCGCCTGTATAGAGAGCGCCTGTCTCTATTTTACATCTACTCCTCCTTTTTCTTAGAGGAATAAGTCTTGTGCATACATAGAGTGCCACCAAGTTAATCTGTTCTAGGCATAAGTTGGGGTCTGTGTTGCTTAGTATATCTAACCAGCTTATATCAGTTAGGACTTGGTTTACTTGGTCCCACTTTATGTTTTTGTTATTGAAGTTGAATTTGGTGAATGCTCCCTCGTGACTAATCTCATTTTGTCGGTCTGGGGCTCTGCGCATACATGTCTGAACCTCAATTATGTTGTGATCTGAGTATATTGTTTTTGATGTGGTGACATTTCTTATCAGATCATCATTGTTAGTGAAGATGAGGTCTAGTGTATTCTCCATTCTAGTAGGCTCTATTATTTGCTGGTTTAAATTGAATTTTGTGCAGAGATTTAAAAGCTCGTGTGAGTTTTCATCAGAGCTGCCTCCTGGTGTTATTACTGCAACAATATTATTTGCTATATTCCTCCATTTTAGGTGCCTTAAGTTGAAATCCCCCAGGAGCAAGATGTTAGGTGCAGGAGCTGGAAGATTTTCCAGACAGTGGTCAATTTTTAACAGCTGTTCCTGGAATTGCTGGGATGTTGCATCCGGAGGCTTGTAGACTACCACAATGACTAGGTTTTGGTTCTCGACCTTTACTGCTAAAACTTCCACTACATCATTTGAGGCATTAAGCAGTTCTGTGCAAACAAGTGACTCTGCAATGTACAGGCCAACCCCCCCCCCCCTTTTGCCTGTTCACTCTGTCACATCTGTATAGGTTGTAACCTGGGATCCATATATATGTATTATGTCTGTATAAGATATGCTCTCAATAAAATATAAAAAAAAAATCCAAAACAAACCTACGCATAAGTACGATTAAGCACCTAAATTACTGGGAACGGTCGAAGGCCCTTGAATTGTATTCCCTGGAACGCAGGCGAGAAAGACATGATAATATACACCTGGGAAATCTTAAAGGGACTAGTACCGAACTTGCACACGAAAATCACTCCTTACGAAAGCAAAAGACTTGGCAGGAGATGCAACATTCCCTCAATGAAAAACAGGGGCACTACGAGTACACTAAGAGACAACACAATAAGTGTCAGGGGCCCAAGATTGTTCAACTGCCTCCCAGCATACATAAGGTGAATTACAAATAGACCCCTGGCTGTCTTCAAGAAAGCGCTGGACAGGCACCTAAAGTCAGTACCTGACCAGCCGGGCTGTGGTTCGTACGTCAGTTTGGATGCGGCCAGCAGTAACAGCCTGGTTGATCAGACCCTGATCCACCACGAGGCCTGGTCTCAGACCGGGCCGAGGGGGCACTGACCCCCGAAACCCTCTCCAGATAAACCTTCTCTATCTATCCGTATATATCTCCGTCTCCTCTCCCTTCTCCCCTCCCACTTCTCTTCTCCCGTCCTCTTTCTCTCCCCCTTTCTTCCCTCAGAATTCGCCCGTCCATTACTTACAACCCAGACATATCTCAGATACTAACAGATTTCCCCACTTTACCACGTCCTCGTTACAAGCATGGATTTTTAGATTTAGTGGTAGAAATCTCTAAAATAAAATTGCAACACACAAATTACAAACTGACAGCGAACCATTAAAAGCTCACAGTGTCAAACCAATTACTGGAGTAGTTTTGTAGCTTACCTCTTCGTTAAGATAGTAATGGTCACCATCTTCCTGAGCAACTGGTGCATAGTTGTGAGATTTCATTATGCTTGCTTGTTGCTTCCACGATGCTGTTGCTGGTGTGTTAATGCCACGGTACCGTCACCCGTGCGTCGATAATACCACGGTCCGACGTGCGTCGATAATACACGGTCCGTCACCGTGCGTTCGATAATACCACGGTACCGTTCGTCTTTCACTCCGTCCGCGTTGATAATACCAGGGTACCGTCACTCGTGCGTTGATAATACCACAGTACCGTCACCCGTGCGTTGATAATACCACGGTACCGTCACCCGTGCGTCGGAATACCACGGTACGGTCACTCGTGCGTCGATAATACCACGGTACCGTCACCCGTGCGTCGATAATACCGCGGTACCGTCACCCGTGCGTCGATAATACCACGGTACCGTTACCCGTGCGTTGATAATACCACGGTACCGTCACTCGTGCGTTGATAATACCACAGTACCGTCACCGTGCGTCGATAATACCACGGTACCGTCACTCGTGCGTTGATAATACCACAGTACCGTCACCGTGCGTCGATAATACCACGGTACCGTCACTCGTGCGTTGATAATACCACAGTACCGTCACCGTGCGTCGATAATACCTCACCGGGGATACCGTCTGAAATCTCGCAGTGCGTTGATAATACCACAGCACCGTCACCGTGCGTCGATAATATCACGGTACCGCTAGTCAAGCTAAAACGAGAGCACATTTGCAGGCAAGGCCTGAATTAATGTAGTTCTATGGACACTGTCAACACCATTTAAGACTAGCCATCTGCTTTTTAAACAAGTTTTCTTATTAACTTACACTTGTGTGTATACATTTCATCACAAATCAACCCAATATATTTATGCTGGTCCTTAAGTTTATTTTTTTTTTAATTAAAACCACGGGAAATATTTATTAGGCCAATAGCACGTACTGCACTCTCGTTATTTTCAAGTATAAATATGGAGCACAACACTGTTCATTGTATCATAGTCTCTATGTAACAGAAATTAGTTGGTAGTTTCTGTTATCTCGTATAAAGTGCAATGTTGAGTGTAGTGAGGTGGTCGAGTTGTGAATACAACCTCCCACCACTGTTATTCACACACTACTGGCCTCCCTGCCGGGAACACTCATATAATCACTCATTTTTCCCTATTAAAGTCCTTGGGTATCTTACATTTATTCCGATATGGTACTATATTTATGTTTTCTACTTAAAGCAATGTATTATTTTGTTCAAGGCGTAATTTTAAGCCAATTATCTATTTCTTTTTTGTAGCGATTTCTGGTTTTGTATCGGTGAGAGGACTGGTAATTATGTTTCCATGGTTATATTTCTGTGGTTCACGGAGGTGGTTTTGTGTGTTGTTCACAGAGGTGTTCTTGTGTGGTTCATAGAGGTGTTCTTATGTGTGGTTCACGGAGGTGTTCTTGTATGTGGTTCACGGAGGTGTTCTTGTGTGTGGTTCACGGAGGTGTTCTTGTGTGTGGCTCACAGAGGTGTTCTTGTGTGTGGCTCACTGAGGTGTTCTTGTGTGTGGTTCACTGAGGTGTTCTTGTGTGTGGTTCACAGAGGTGTTCTTGTGTGTGGTTCACTGAGGTGTTCTTGTGTGTGGTTCACTGAGGTGTTCTTGTGTGTGGTTCACAGAGGTGTTCTTGTGTGTGGCTCACAGAGGTGTTCTTGTGTGTGGCTCACAGAGGTGTTCTTGTGTGGGGTTCACTGAGGTGTTCTTGTGTGTGGTTCACTGAGGTGTTCTTGTGTGTGGTTCACAGAGGTGTTCTTGTGTGTGGCTCACAGAGGTGTTCTTGTGTGTGGTTCACAGAGGTGTTCTTGTGTGTGGTTCAGAGGTGTTTTTGTGTGTGGTTCACAGAGGTGTTCTTGTTTGTGGCTCAGAGAGGTGTTCTTGTGTGTGGTTCAAGGAGTTGTTCTTGTGTGGTTCACGGAGGTGTTCTTGTGTGTGGTGAACGTAATGTTCAAGGTCACCGTACACGTTCACTTTCACTTTCTCGCTATGAATCACTCCAGTGTCTAGGCAACACTTCACTCATGTCCAACTCAGTCTTGTAAGAGCTATAACGAATTGTTACTGCATTTTCATGAAGCACTGAACACATGGGAACCTATTTACATAAGGGATAGTTGAGGTTCGATCCTACGTCCATTAAGCGCCTGTCAGGTTCTACTTTCCCAGAAAGGTAGTACTGAAAAAAACATCTAATATAGGTCGCCACTTCATGCATTTCTTGACAAATCTTGAAGGTTCATCAAAATATTTATTAACTCCAATGTGAACTGCAGTGGGATGTGTTAAGTTTGACTTATTACAAGTACCTGAGAACTGGACAGCCACTGAAAAATTCTGTCCTGAAAAAAAAAATGTGTATATTAATAATAAAAAAAATAATTTGTATTGCAACGTTCGTTTATTCATTTTACATCATAGAAATGACAGAAAAAAAATGAGTAACTAAAATTAGTAGCCACATATATCGAAAAAATATATATAGACTGCAGTATGTGCCTTGCAGTAAGCCTCGCGGGGCAACCATAAGCTTTTAAAGTAGAAAAGGTTTATTTGTAATAAGTACTGATGACTCACACGGGTTTAGAGTTTTTTTTTTTATTTTTGTCTGATACAACAATCTCTGTAGTAAGGAAGGTGGGAATTTATCATGGAGAAGCAACTGGTATACCAGGAGTATCATGAAGCAGCAACTGGTATACCTGGAGGGTGTTTCAGGTCCATGACCAGGCCTTGCAGTGGATAAGAGCCTGATCAACTAAGCTGTTACTGTTGGCCGCACGTAAACCGACGTACGAACCATTGCCCGGCTGGTCAGGTACTGACTTAGGTGTCTTTCCAGCTCCTTCTTGAAGACAGTCAGGACAGCAGAACTAATTGTTCTCAGTTCAACAACAGTTGCATTTGAGAGACAGTCTCTCAACTCATCTAGTTACTGTTAAGTGCTTCCACGAACTAATTAAACTTCCCTCCTATTCACTACTCCGTTACTCTCTCTCTCTCCCTGCCTTCCCTTCCTTCGCCTCCTCTTCCCTCAGGGGAGGTCCCTTGAGGCCGGCGAGGGGAAGGGGCTTTTGATCCATAGAATTAGACCTGTGTTCCCCTTCCTTGGATCAATCCTGAATGCCTGCATGTTCCCCAGGCGCTGTATGACCCTCACGGGTTTAACGCTTCCCATGAATGTAATATATCCCTCTCTTCACTACCTAGTGGTGGCCCGGTGGTCTGGTGGCTAAAGCTCCCGCTTCACACACGGAGGGCCCGGGTTCGATTCCCGGCGGGTGGAAATTCCGACACGTTTCCTTACACCTATTGTCCTGTTCACCTAGCAGCAAATAGGTACCTGGGTGTTAGTCGACTGGTGTGGGTCGCATCCTGGGGGACAAGATTAAGGACCCCAATGGAAATAAGTTAGACAGTCCTCGATGACGCACTGACTTTCTTGGGTTATCCTGGGTGGCTAACCCTCCGGGGTTAAAAATCCGAACGAAATCTTATCTTACTACTCCTTCCTTCCGGCTCCCTCCACCTCTCTTTGTTTCCTCTTTATACGTTTCTGTCCTCACCTTCCCCTCATTTCCCTCCATCCACCTCCCACTACTCCCCTCCCTTCCCCCCTCCCCTTCCCCTGCTTGTGTGCGCTTGCCTTTGTCCACTTAAGCACACATGTGTGTCTCAACACTGGTGTGATCAGCACAACCTGCCACAGGAAGAACCTCACTCCCTCACCCTAGATTCCCACGCTAACAGTGCCCCGGGGTGAATGGGGCCGCCTGCGCCGCCCTGTTTATAACAACGAAGACTACCATAGCTGAACATACTGCCTTTCCCGAGTACCATTGATGACTGGCATATTCCCAGTTATCTTATACCATAATTTTTAAAGGGGTGGACCGGTAAGTCAATGGAAGGCCTCGGTCAGATGACCGAGAGCTCCAGTTGCGGGTCACCATATTCAAATTCAAATTCAAAGTTTATTCTCTATAAGGATTACAATGCTGAGTTTACAGAAATTTGGTTATTGTGTGGTTTACATGTAGTAAAATTGTGATTACAGAGTGTACCACTAGAACGCTTAGCATGGCTAGGCATTTCGGGCATACTTAGTTTTATTCTTAATTGTAAAATATTACAAATTATGAGGTAAGTTGGTATTATGGCTAAGTGACTAAATACTAGTTTGCGAGTTTAGCAATGTGAATGCTTTTGTTTTGGCACAGTACATAGTTTCAGTATTGGAGTATCACAGGATTCATTATTTTAAGATTGAGATTAATATTTCTGTTTATGGTCAAATGAGTGAGTGTAAGTGTGAACCACCAGGTGGTATTCGTGTAGTTAGTTGACGGGGTGTATCAGGGAGATAAGATGTTTTCTAATGGTAGTTTTGAAGGTGGTGAATGTGTCTGCAGTTCTAGAGTTCTCAGGTAGGGTATTCCAGATTTTAGGGCCTTTGACTACATTGAATTTTTTAAAGGTTTAGTCGGACACGGGGAATGTCGTAGAGATGTTTGTGTCTGGTGTTATGCCTGTGGGTTCTGTCACAACTATCAAGAAAGCGTTTTAGGTCAAGGTTGATATTAGAGTTTAAGGCCCTGTAGATGTAGATTGCACAGTAGTAAGTGTGGATGTACTGAACTGGGAGTAAGTTTAGGTCTATGAAGAGTGGAGGGGTGTGTTGCCAGGGATGGGATTTAGTGATTATTCTTACTGCAGCTTTTTGTTGGGTTATTATTGGCTTTAGGTGTGTTGCTGCAGTTGATCCCCAAGCACAAATAGCATAGGTGAGGTATGGATAAATAAGTGAGTGGTATAGTGTGAGAAGGGCATTTTGCGGCACGTAGTATCGTATCTTGGAGAGGATCCCAACCGTTTTGGATACTTTTTTGGTTATATGCTGGATATGGGTGCTGAAATTCAGGTTGTTGTCAAGGTATAAGCCTAGGAATTTCCCCCCATTATTTCTGGTAATTAGAGTGTTGTCAATCTTAATGTTAATTTGTGCATCTCCTGCTCTGCTACCAAACATAATATGACTAAGACCTGCTTCAGGAAACACTTGTCCTGTTTCCTGACAAACTTTACCTATCCTGACCTTCCCCAAATACCACTAGGCGGTGAATGTATGGCACCTTCTCTAGGTGAAACCAGAGGATCTGAATGTATGGCACCTCAGGTGCCCTGTGGCTCGATTGATAGCATACTCAGCTCTCATACTGAGTGTCTGTGGTTCGATCCCCAGCATGTGTAGAAACATTGGGCATGTTTCCTTTCACTTGCTGCCCCTGTTCACCTACCAGTAAGTACTTGGATATTAATGGTCTGTTGTGGGTCGCATCCTGAGGGACAAGATTAAAGAACCCCAGTGGAAATAAGACAGACAGTCCCCGATAACACACTGATATTATTGGGTTATCTCGAGTTAGCCGGCTACCTCACGGGGCTTAAAATCCGAACAAACTCTAATCTTATAGCATCCACCTGGCTCCAGCACTCCCTACCCTTATGTGCTACATCTGTTCAGCACCAACCTACCCCTGGTGCTGAGTTTATTCAGAACCCCAACAAGTGCTGCATCTGATTCCAGCACGGAGTACAGCGTAGCTCGCTTGTGAGAGCATTTGACTTACTATCGCAAGGTCATGGGTTCGATTTTACCTTAAACCCTGCTACCCTTGCTCACTAAGTACCTTACAACCCTGCTAAAGTCTCCCAGCCCAGGCTGACGGTACCAAAGTCTTCCAGCTCGGGCTGATGCTACCGAAGTCTCCCAACTTAGGCTGACACCTTGCACGAGAGACATCCCCACTGTGTAACTATCATATAGAATAGTGTAGCAGCACACTGCTGATGTATCCAAGTTTGCTAAATTAACCAAAAGGATCCTCCTTGACGTATCTTCCCCATGTACTCTCAAATATATTCCCCAGGTACCCTCAAGTATCTTCCCGAAGTGAACTCAAGTATCTTCCCCATGGTACCCTCAAGTATCTTCTCTAGGTCCCCCAGGTATTCTCCCCAAGTACTCCACACTCCAACTTGCCCCAGGTTATCCTCCCTAGGTACCCCTCAAAATGTCTTCCCCAGGTACCCCAGGTGACACATGTACATTACCTACATCTATTTATTACACACACAGGGTTAAAATATGCATGCCATATACATACTCGTATACATAAAGTTGAAATCCTATCAACTGTATGTTAGTCATTAAGTTTGCGCCTGACTATACACTCCTTTGACAGTCATTTCTAAAACATAATGAATGAACGGTCAGTGTATATACACAGATACAGGGCATATATACACCTAGAGGTGTTCATATGTATATCTACGCTAATTTGAGGTATTACTGTATCCTTGACCTGTGATGTACAGGTCTCATGACCCTGGCGTAGGTACGGTAGTAAACAGGCTTTAAACACAATAAATCAACTGAAATACAATTTGGTGTATATAGTGATACATTAATCCTCAGTACGAAAATGTATACATAATAATATTCAAAAGCAAGCGATAAAACAGTATGGGTCATACAGCAATCGTGTGACATTCAGCGAGACAGTCAATATCACTCGTATAGTGCAGTAATGTATGACTGTACTAACATACTGTCAACATATTCATGACACGGTGGAGAGTGAGAGTGTATGAGGCCACCAACACAACCTAGGTGAGTGAAGGTAAACTTACCCAGGTTGTATGAGGTGTCACACCCTCCCTCCACTGCTGGTTCACACACACTGGCAACACCACGGTACTGCTCTCCTTGCTTCCACTTTCCAAGTCGCGCTCAGCGCTCCATGCTGGCCCCGCGCTCTTTTAAACTGCAGAGGTTGGTAAGTTTGTGATGTAGTGGAGTGTATTTGTTTCTCCCGTGGCCTGGTAGGTAACACTCTCACCTCACACACTGAGGGTCCGTGGGTCGATTCGCGGCCGGGTGGAAACATTGGGCGTGTTTCCTTACACCTGATGTCCCCGTTCACCTAGCAAGTAGTTACCTGGTGTTAGTCGACTGGTGTGGGTCGCATCCTGGGGGACAAGACTGAAGGATCCCAATGGAAATAAGACAGGCAGACGTCTATGAAGCAATGATTTTCTTGGGTTATCCTGGGTAGCTAACCCTCCGGGGCTAAAAATCCGAACAAAATCTTATCTTAATCTTAACATATCGAATCCAGACAGGGACTGATTACCTCATTGTTCTCCTCATCTTTCATCGCTTTCCTCTGTGTTGGACTGAAGAATTATTATTATTATAATCACGGTGAAAAGCTCTGTTCCATGAGGCACAGTACTCGCTCCCATCTTGTTCCTCATCCTCATATCTGACATAGACAAGGATGTCAGCCATAGCACCGTGTCTTCCTTTGCAGATGACACCCGAATCTGCATGACAGTGTCTTCCACTGCAGACACTGCAAGGCTCCAGGCGGACATCAACCAAATCTTTCAGTGGGCTGCAGAAAACAATATGAAGTTTAACGATGAGAAATTTCAATTACTCAGATATGGTAAACACGAAGAAATTAAATCTTCATCAGAGTACAAAACTAATTCTGGCCACAAAATAGAGCGAAACACCAACGTCAAAGACCTGGGAGTGATCATGTCGGAAGATCTCACCTTCAAGGACCATAACATTGTACCAATCGCATCTGCTAGAAAAATGACAGGATGGATAATGAGAACCTTCAAAACTACGGATGCCAAGCCCATGATGACACTCTTCAGGTCACTTGTTCTATCTAGGCTGGAATATTGCTGCACACTAACAGCACCTTTCAAGGCAGGTGAAATTGCTGACCTAGAAAATGTACAGAGAACCTTTACGACGCGCATAACGGAGATAAAACACCTCAATTACTGGGAGCGCTTGAGGTTCCTGAACCTGTATTCCCTGGAACGCAGGCGGGAGAGATACATGATTATATACACCTGGAAAATCCTAGAGGGACTAGTACCGAACTTGCACACGAAAATCACTCACTACGAAAGCAAAAGACTTGGCAGACGATGCAACATCCCTCCAATGAAAAGCAGGGGTGTCACTAGCACATTAAGAGACCATACAATAAGTGTCAGGGGCCCGAGACTGTTCAACTGCCTCCCAGCATACATAAGGGGGATTACCAACAGACCCCTGGCAGTCTTCAAGCTGGCACTGGACAAGCACATAAAGTCGGTTCCTGACCAGCCGGGCTGTGGCTCGTACGTTGGTTTGCGTGCAGCCAGCAGCAACAGCCTGGTTGATCAGGCTCTGATCCACCAGGAGGCCTGGTCACAGACCAGGCCGTGGGGGCGTTGACCCCCGGAACTCTCTCCAGGTAAACTCCAGGTAAGGGGGAAGCGCTAAACCCGGAGGATTATATAGCGCCTGGGGGGGATGTGGAAGGCATTCAGGCTTAATTCGGGGAACTGAAGCACAGATCCAATTCCCTAAATCAAGAGCCCCTCACCAACATCAAGGAACCTTCCTTGAGGGGTGGACTGAAGAAGCCACTTGTTGCACAAGTGTCTCATTCGTAAGTTTATTTTGGTACCGGTACACATAATTACAATTATCATACACAGTAACAAATGTGTAAATTACCTAGGATAACCCTAAAAAAAGTCGAAGTGATTTATTTCCACTTGAGTTGATGTGTGAGGTTTATAAGCTTATGAAATTATTACACTTAATGAGCCCAAGTATATTATTGGTATACCTGGGAGGATTTCGGGGGTCAACATCCCTGCGGCCCAATCTGTGACCAGGCCTCATGGTAGATCAGGGTCTGATCAACCAGGCTGTTACTGTTGGCTGCACGCAACCTGACATACGAATCACAGCCTGGCTGGTCAGGTACTGACTTTAGGTGCCTGTCCAGGGCCTTCTTGAAAGCAGCCAGAGGTCTATTGGTAATCCCCTTTATGTATGCTGGGAGGCAGTTGAATAGTCTTGGGCCCCTGACACTTACTGCGTTGTCTCTTATCGTCCTAGTGGCACCCCTGTTTTCCATTGGGGTAATGTTGCATCGTCTGCCCAGTCTTTTGCTTTCATAAGGAGTGATTTTCGTGTGCAAGTTTAGTACTAATCCCTCTAGGAGTTTTCAGGTGTATATAATCATGTATCTCTCCCGCCTGCATTCTAGGGAGTACAGGTTGAGGAACTTCAAGCGTTCCCAGTAGTAGTGTTTTATCTCCGTTATGCGTGCCGTGAAGGTTCTCTGTACATTTTCTAGGTCAGCTATTTTACCTGCCTTGAAAGGTGCTGTTAGTGTGCAGCAATATTCCAGCCTAGATAGAACGAGCTTACACCTTTTACATTGGGCTTGGAAATATTTCTGCAGATTTCTTTATGTACTGGTTGAGCCACATGCTATTTAGGAAAAATAATTTTTATTATGTAGTTCCTAGATTATTCAACATGTTGCCAGTGCCTGTTAAGTCAGGAATCTGTTCATCTTTCAATTATTATTATAATCAAAAAGAAGCGCTAAGCCACAAGGACTATACAGCTTCATCTTTCAAGCTTCAGTTGAAAACACATCTCTTTTCTATAGCTTATGATTACTATAATTATGGGGAGCACTAAACCCGTAGGATTATACAGCACGCGTGGGGGGGGATAGAAGGTATTCAGGCTCAGTGTAAGGAACCAGAGCACAGATCCAATTTCCTAGATCAAGAGCTCCTCACTAGCATCAAGGAACCCCATCCCCTTGAGGGGTATAGCTTATGATCTTATTATCATAATGTCATTCTTGAGTATAAACTTTAGCATTTCTTCATCAGTTGTTGTTGCATTTATGGCTTGATGTGTGAACACTCCTGAATTTCTTTAAAGAACATTATGATTATTACATTCATGGAGGGAGGTGCTAAACCTGAAGGGGGTCATACAGCACCTTGGGTAAATGAAAGGCAGTCAAGCTTGATTCAAGGAATTAGAGTAATGGTGCAAGTCCTTAGATAAAGAGCCCCTCACCAGCATTAAGCAGTCTTGAAAGAATAGGTGCTCAAGAATAATGAAATCCCAATTATTATTCAGAGTATTATTACATTCTTTGGGAAGCACTGAACCTGTAGGGGGTCATAGAATCTGGGAAGAATGAGACTTTCAGGGCTGATCCAAGGAAGGGGAGAGCAGGTCCAATTCCTTGCATCAAAAGCCCTTCACTGCCACCAAGGAAACTCCCTCAATATTTTTCAGAACTCATTCAGGTAAGGATAAATATGAGGCTTTGCTTGATTATGGATATAATTTGATGTACTGTTACAATCAACAGGGACTGAGAATATTTCTCTATATACAGGCACAGTATCTGCATATTAATTAAAACTTGAGTTTTATATTACTGTACCTATAATTTAGTATTTGTGCATCAGTTTCACATATACAGTACTGTATATGGTCATATATAGTATCTGGTTGGTATAGAAAATAATCTTACCTATAATGCAAAAATATACATAAATCATGTATTACATGCATATTTCATTCCTTTCACAAGTTAGTTTAGTGAATACTGTATACTGTACTTGTGTTTCACTGAAATTTACTTAAAAATTTACCTCAATTTTCATAAGACTTATTAGTTTAATATTCTTTATGTCTAAAATACATGGCATTGACAAAATGCTAAATTACTGATCAACAATATATGATCAAATTAAGTGCTAAACCCAAAAGGGTTATTACAGCACTGAGAGAGGAGTGTGCAAGGGCAGGGGGTTAGTAGGAGAGATTACAAAAAGAAAAGTAAAATCACATTTGGCATGATAAGTTAGTTTCTGTAAAACAGGCATCAAGTCTGCATCAAAGGTGTGACTTTTAGGAAGGTCAGTGTAGGTTAGTGTGTTGAGATGACTAAAATGATGGAAGTGAATTCTGCATTCTTGCTGATAGGTTGCAACACAACAGCTCTTGCAGAGCGGTGCTGGGCATTTTTCCATGAGGTGTCTGTGATGTTGGTGTGGCCAATACATATATGGGAGAGTGCAATCTCCCAAATATGACAGTGATGGGAAGATGGCCAGAAACCTAAATGTGGTTTTACAGAAAACAATTTGTTGTGGACCAACACTGTTGCCATCGATTGCAGTTGAGAGATCACTGCAAAATAATTCAAGAAAGGCATATGCATGGGAAATTGGGAGGTAACAAACAGCTGAATATGCAGCTGAGTCTTTTTGTTCATTACCCTGAACATTGATGTGTCCAGGGACCCAGTGAAGACCAATGTCTCTGTGTTCCCTAGAAATGCAGAGTAACCAAAGTTGAATGCAATAGATGATGGGAAGTGGGGAGTTGAATTTCTGGATAGCCTGTAATGCACTGGAAAAGTCTGCCGCAACTACATATGATGAGACAGACATCAATGCAACGTGCATGATAGCCATGAGAATTGCATACGTCTCTGCTGTGAACACTGGATGAGTTAGTAAATGACCTCGGATGATTTTGTCATGAAAAATTGCTTCATTTCTAACGCTATCAGGGGATTTACAACCATCAATGTATACTGCGATAGCATAAGAATGATGATGGAAGCGATCAAGAAAGTGAGAATAAAGTTACAGCAGGCAAATGAGCTTTCGCACATAAAAGTTAGGGAAGAACAAATGTGAATCATTGGGATCTTTCCAAGGAGGGAAAAGTAAGACACAGGGTGAACATAGAGGGAAGGTAAATTAAGGAAGTAAATAGAGTGCGAACAGAGAGAGGAAAAAGGCATAATAAATGGGGGCAGTGATTAAATAAAGCCTTACTATTATTCATTACCTTTTTTTTATGTGGGTATCGCTCAAAGAAGGGATGTTTGCCTCTGCACAGAGGCAAACTAAAGAACAGAAAGCCATGAGACATAAATACAACCAGTGATGATGAATGCGATCAAGTATAGAAAGAGTAAAGCGGGAGGCTGAAGAATACAGTTGGTTACCGTAGTCTAGTCTAGATAAGATTAAGACAGAATAAGTGAGAAGGGTGCATCTATCAGCCCTCCAAGAAAGGTGGGCTAGGAATTTTAAGGAGGTTCAACCAGCAATGACATGCAGCATTCAGGGAAGTTATGCGAGGATTCCAGGACATTTGAAGATCAAACAGAAGACCAAGAAATCTGACCATATCCTATTCAGGTATAGGGGAACTATTTAGATATAAAACAATCTGAGGTATAACAGGACATCTTGTGAAAGCTGACAAGTTTTAGCAACAGAAAATGTAAACCCATGAGAGGTGGCCTAGTGGAAAGCATGATCAATAGCACTTTGAAAACAAGCTGCTAGAAGGCGACAAACAGTGCCTGCACAAGCTACGTATAGCAAAATCGTCGACATAGATGGCCAAATATTGGGAAGGAGAATAGAGGTAAGAGCCTTAATAACAAACTGAAAGAGGGTAGTACTAAAAACACAGCCTTGAGGGACACCTTTAGCTTGGGCAAAGGTCAGGGTATAAGCTATTATTGACCCAGACACACAGGTGCCTCTCTGGCAAGAAATCCCTAAGGAAAATGGCACATTACCCCAGAGGCCCAAGGAATGGGCTTGGGCCAAGATTTAACACCAGGTAGTATGAGATAAAAAAAAAAAAACTGCAACAACTGAGTGATTATTACAAACAGATATCCAAACATATTAACCCTTTCAGGGTCGCAACCCCTGCTCTCAAACTTGCTCTCACGGTCATAAAAAAAATTCTCATGAAAAGGTAGAGAATCATTTTTTGATGGTTATAAAACAAAAAAGTACAATAGTTGATGGAAAACGGACGAAATTACACTTTTGCGAATTTTGCTGTGTCAGCGACATTTACACATTGCCGATTTCATCCACTTTGAGTCTGATTTTAGGCCAATTGCATTGTTCTGGTTGACCAAATTCTTAGCTATTTTGCTAGTGTCTTCCATGCTATTGAGTACAAGAAACTGCCCATTCATTTATTTAAACTACCCAATACAGTGATCATTATTATTATTATAATAAAAAAAAAAGCGCTAAGCCACAAGGGCTATACAGCGCTGCAGGGTAGGGAAGGAAACGAGGGTATTGGGCGGCAGAAGGGGGTAGGGATGATCAGTAGGTCACAGAAAACAGCGGGGCAGGGGATAGTGCGGGGGCAGAGGGTAGCAAGAGATTGAGGTAGAAAGGGCTGAAGGTATTATCCGAGTTTGTAAAGTAAGTCAGTTGTCAAAAGTCAGTGAGAGAGTCCGGATGAAAGGTGGGTCCATCAGTGAGAAGGAAAGGTAAAGAGAGAGCAGCGGAGCGAAGACGACGTTGGAGGTAAATTCTGCGTGCTCATTGATAAAGTGAGCAGTCTAACAATACAGTGATCAGAAACTGGTAATTTGGCCAATTTCATACAAAATTCAAGAAATACCAATTTCAAAATAAGTCCAGAATAAACAATGCAGACATTCCCAGAACAAAAATAACTTTCTCTGTTCATTAGTCACTTCTCCAGGCCCCTCTTATATTATGCTTACTTTCCATTTTGAATTTTTATTCACAAAAAATAGATGATTTATTGTTATGCAGACTACTGCACTATTGTAATAATTGTATAAATAATGTCAGTGCATTCCTAAATGCATATTCGACAGGCCAGTTGGGTGCGTATTGGAATATTGGCAAAACTCGAACATTTCCACTGCTTTGAGCTCAATTTCAAGCTACTTTCAGTCTTGAAACCAATCAAAATAATCTCTATTTCTGTAATATGTTTTCCAAGAATATAACCATAAAAAACCATGCAAAAATACACAAGGTTGCCATTTTAAACCAAAAACAAGGTGCAGTTATTTTCTCATTATGCACTACACAATGCAGGATTTTTTTTATATGGTGCACACTTACCACACAGACCCATTCTCTCATATTTAGGCCCAAATTTACCGCTCACAGCTTATCCGAGTGAATTGAGCTCATGGCGTTGTACTATGCGACTGACACTGGCTTCAAAGCCATGAAACAATGGGACTGACCCTGAAAGGGTTAAAGGGTCAGTGGTACAAACAATTATGGGTTTCCAAGTACCAAACTAAATGATGCTAAAAAAAAAGTGTTTTACCAACTTACAAAGTTCATTGGTAAGAGGTGTCATGGTCCAAAGTACCTGGCTTATAAAAAGGAAGGACAATGGCAGTTTTCCATTGTAGAAGTGCCAGTATTAAAACATGAAGGAGAGAGTAAGAAGTAAGCCTTGAACTGGTCCCCATCAGTCACAGTGAGACCTTTCCCTGAGGAAATGATAAGCATTAAAATCACCTTATAAGAGGAGGGGCAGAGGTAAGGAGGAAGTCAGAAAGCAATGCTGGGGATAGATAATGGGCAAGAAAAGGAAAGATACAAAGATTAGATTGTGTGACATTTACCCAAATATATCTGGGTTACAGTATAATGAAGCAAAGCATGAACAAACAGCCAAGGGTAAGAAATATCACTGTCCACAAGCACGCACACACTGAATCTCTCATCAGGAAAAGGATCAAGTGATTGTGATAAAACAGATAGGAAGGGGCAACAGTAGAACATAATTTCAGTTTTTGTAAGTAAATACAAATGGGAAAACTGGGAGAGGAACACTTGAAACTTTCCCCTGTATCCTCTGATATTCTACTGCAATAAAGCTATTATCATAAAAAAAAAAGCAAGACAATGGCAATAGAAAGCAGGCAGTGACTATAGGCAAAGGTCGGCAGTAAAGTCATTGTGTGGTGATAGTAGGAAGGTAAAAATAAGGGAAGAGATGGAGGGAGGGTGTGCGCATGCGGGCACGTGCGTTTAAGTAATTTCTTAATATGCAACCAGTAGGTGTAGGGAATTGCAGCGAGTGTGTGTAGGTTTTGTCTTCTCAATAAGGAAGTAGCAGGAAGAGAAATGTGAGAATCGGACGAGGCAGATGGTGCAGACGGCAAGGAGACGTTGGCAGCTGTTAAATTGTAGCACAGGAAAGGGTGTCCTGGGAGGTACTGATCACTAGGTTATGTATAAAGGAATAAATAACTATTTTAGGCACTTTTGCATAAACCAGTTTTGAATGCCAAGGTACAGTATACAGCTGGACAATTTATTATTATAATAATCAAGGTAAGAGCCTATCATTTATTTTCATGGAAAGCACTACTATTAATACTGGTTTGACCTGGAATACATCATAGTAAAATAATTCAGATAGTATGTACTTGTTTTAGGATTTACTGTATATGACAAATGATGACCTTGACATTTTTCAATTTAGTGAATGACCAATTATACTCAGCTAAATTCAATTGTCAGGAAATGCATTTATATTCATGCCACTTTACTCTCAAAACTTATTTTTTACTATGTCTATACTTTTGGGGAAAAAATGCACAATATTCTGTACCTACTGTTGAAAACAGACATTAAAATTCTTTTGTCTATGGTACATAATGCTGTATGCATTTATTAGTGTTTTAATTCATAAGAATCTGGTATAAACATTGTGGAACGGCTTTCTCTTATTTATTAACATTTACAACTTTAATGTTTTCCCTATGCTAACTTTTGACACAATATAGACTTGTACGCATTCTTCTTAACACAACATGGACTTAATAAATGAGATATAGCACCAGTTAACATTAAAAACTGAATGCAGCGATGATCCATGACATAATTGTAAAGTGACAAATGATATTCCAAATGTACTCGAGATTCAGCTTGCAAAAGGAAAGAAAAGACGCAAATGATTATCGACTTCATTATAAATACAAAATAATCTTACTGGAAATGTTCATTTCACCATAGTTTCAGCATTATGAAGCTTAACAAATAAAAGCAAAGTCCTTCAGGGAATGATGGTTTAAATAACATTGTGCTTCCTTGCTTATTTCAGAATGCTAAAACTGAGAACATTCTGACCACAACTTGTAATGATTGTATACATCAAAGTTTTGCATGAAAGCTAGAAAATAATAAATAAAATGTAATAAATAAACTGTAAAAAAATCTAGTTAAAGCTCCTTAGTCGTCAAATACATGGAAGTGTTCTGAATGGTTGTACACAAGCTCTAGGATCCTATCTGTCTGCCAAAGAAATATAAATTATGCTCAAGATACTCAATAGTAAAGTTCAAAAAAGAACTACTTTCATCTCAGTGACTGAGACTTGCAGAAAGAAATTAAGCAATTACAAAACAGGGTGCTACCAATAACATACATGATAATGTATTTACCATGAGGAGACTTGTGTAAAATACAACATTCACCTGTGCTAGTTAAATTAACTTTGGTTTAGAGAAGCAATTATTTTTTCATTATCAAGGCACAGAAGCAATAGAAAAATCAATAAGGTATTTTTCAAGCTAATATCCTCATGATGTTACTTATACTGTGTACAACAAACTAGTCACTATGTAGGAGACTAGTATTACAGATACAGTATTAACCCTTAAACTGTCCAAATGTAGATCTACGTTTTTTCAATATTTGAAAGTATGTGAAAAAACGTAGATCTTTTTCTTTTTACATTTAAAAGTGTGTAAAAAAAACTCTGATCTTTTTTTTATATTTGAAAATATGTAAAAAAAGTAAATCTACTTTTGAAGCACAACACATGTGAACGTAGATCTATATTTGGACAGTTTAAGAGTTAAACTTTCCAAATGTAGATCTACGTTTATGTGCATAGCGCTCCAAATGTAGAGCAACGTTTTCTTTTTACATGCTTTCAAATGTAAAAAAACGTAATTTATGTTCGGAGTGCTATGCATGTGAACGTAGATCTACATTTGGACAGTTTAAGGATTAAGGAATACCTTTCAAAAGAATGGTGCCATTAAAAAGACAATACAGCATTTAATTGTCCTTTCATAACTAGGTTATGAAATATTCACAGGTAATGTCCCTTACAACCACATTTGGCATATGTAGATATAACTCAGTTTGTAACAACATTAACCTTTATCATCTGCCTTTAATATTTATGTAAGAAGCATGCATATGCATATTAACAATATAGTAAGTACAAATCTTATAACTTTCAATTTTAAAGCTTATTTATCAATCTACTACTGTAAAGAAACTTTCTGAATTTAAATTAACCTCCTTCACTTAAAAAAAGAAAAATTATATATATATATATATATAGCCATCCTCCCCGTGATATACATCAAGGTGTTTCAGAGCCACGACAGGCTGTCACTAATGTATATCACTACTTAAAAAATTAAGAAGCTGCACAAAATTGCTGTGTACACTGCCTACCTAAAATATTCTAGTGCAAAATGACAATGCTGAGATAACCAATCCTAAATTTTGTAGGCTGTATACAATTAAAGATAATATTCTATTTAATGTGTCTTATGATATGCTCTATCAACTCCCTTTCTGTCAATTCATTTTCAGTTTTACAAGCTATTATAGAGCTTAAATTTTATTTCCAATGCCAATAAAAATACCTGATTAATAAATACAATACTGTTATATGAAAATTTACATAAATTTCACTGAAATATACTGAACATAAATAACATTCTTTGCCTTAACTAGCCATATTCTAAAAATGTGCAATTAGAAGGTCTTCCGATGAACTGCTCTAACGCCATCCTCATCAAACTCACGTTTGCTGACCCACATGCGCTTGAAGGTATCTAAAGAAGCAAGAATAGAACCCCCTATCCATGTGGAGTAGAGCCTCTCTGCTGGTGCTGAGATCTGAAAAATGTGAATTCAGTGTTACTCTCTCTTATCTGAACATTATCATGTAGGAGAGATACATAAATGTATTTATTTATAATAATAATAATAATACTATACTACAATAGTAAGGATGTGAAGGAAATTTTGAGAAGTAGGGGCATGTAAGGCCAGCAGGCACATGCAGTGGAACCTTGACTGACGAGTTTAACCCTTTGAGGGTTTCGGCCGTACTAGAACGGCTTACGACCCAGGGTTTTTGACGTACTAGTACGCCTAAATTCTAGCGCCCTCAAATCTAGTGGGAGAAAGCTGGTAGGCCTACATATGAAAGAATGGGTCTATGTGGTCAGTGTGCACAGTATAAAAAAAATCCTGCAGCACACAGTGCATGAGAAAAAAAAAAGGGACCGTTTTTTTTAAATAAAACAGCGACTTTGCACTGTATTTTTGTATGGTATTTATTGTTGTATTCTAGTTTTCTTGGTCTCATTTTATAGAATGGAAGACATATTACAGAAATTGAGATGATTTCGACTGGTTTTACAATGAAAAGTACCTTGAAATTGAGCTCAAAGTAGCAGAAATGTTCGATTTTTACCAAAGTTCAAAAGTAAACAAATCATGCCAAGGTTCCAATACACGTCAACTGGCGAGTCTAATATTCTTTTGCAAGTGCGCCAATATTATTTACACTATTTTTTACACTAATGCAGTAGTCTGCATAACAGTAAATCTTATATTTTTTGTGAGAATAAAAATTCAAAGTGGAAAGCAAAAGAATATAAGAGGGGCCTTGAGACATGACTAATGAACAGAGGAAATGTCATTTTAGTGCCAGGAATGTCTTTCTTGTTTATTCTGGACCCTATTCGGAAATTGGTATCTTTTGAAATTTGTGTGAAATTGGCAAAATTGCTAAATTCTGACAACTGTACTGGATAGTTGAAATTGATAAATGGGTGGTATCTTGCACTCATTCGATAGAAAAAATGGAGTTCTAGCGAAATACTCATGTTTTTTGTCGACTAGTACAGTGGAATTGGCCGAAAATGGGGCTCAAAGTGGGCAAAATCGCCTATGCGTAAACATCGCCGAGACCGCTAACTTCGCGAGAGCATAATTCTGTAAGTTTTCCATCAAATTTCAAACTTTTGGTGTCATTATGATCGGGAAAAGATTATCTTTTCATAAGAAAAAATTATTTTTTTTTTTTTTAAATTTGGCCTACCCTGAGAACGAGTCTCGGAGAGGGCCTGTCGACCCTCAAAGGGTTAATCTGTTCCGTGACCTAGCTCATAACTCAATTTGCAAGTATATCAAATCAATTTTCCTCATTTAAATTAATTGAAATGCCATTAATCTGTCCCAGTGGCAGGAGAAAATATTTCAATATAATGCTATCAACTATAGGGCTTATTTCTCTATCACAATTCATCTAATATGACATAATAAACAATATAATTAATAGAGAAACATAATATATACATTTTTTAGTCATTTGGCCAAATTTTGTTTTTCTAAGCATGGGTCCTAAGAAAGTGTAAAGGACAGTGCTGAGAAGAAAAAGATGATTTCCATGGAATTAAAGCATGAAATCATAGATAAACAAGTAAGATGTGAAGGTTTCGAGTTGAGGGGAAGTGGGGGAAGCTGCCTCGTAACTCAGATGTTGACTCGTAACTCAGAAAAAAATTGACCCAGCGATGGCTCGTATCTCAAAAAACTCATACGTTGGGACACTCATAAGTCAAGGTTCCACTGTATAAGCAAATTAGACTGAATAGAATTTTTTTTATTTGGTGTGTTTTACAGTGCAAGCTGTGAGTAAGAGAAGATCTAGGAGTTCTGGAGGGCTACAGTGTTTGCACTCTGGAGGACGGATGGGAGTGCTGCATTTCTGTAAATCACTGAAACTGTGTTATCTGTGGTCTTCTGGAAAGACAGCTAGTGAATGTTGCATTTTCCTTTAGATCACCCTGGTTTGGCGAGAAACTACCAATGTATATATCAGACTGGAGGGAGGGAGTATAGATGAAGTGAATGTATTCAGATATTTGGGATTGGACTTAGCAGATGAGGGTAAAAAGGTTAGTGGTGCGCTGAGAAGTCTGTGGAGATAAAGAACAATAACCATGGAAGCAAAGAGGGGAATGTATGAGAGTATAGTGGTACCAACATTCTTATATGGGTGTGAAGCTTGGGTTGTGAATGCAGCAGCGAGGAGGCGGTTGGAGGCAGTGGAGATGTCCTAAGGGCAATGTGTGGTGTAAATATTATGCAGAAAATTCGGAGTGTGGAAATTAGGAGAAGGTGTGGAGTTAATAAAAGTATTAGTCAGAGGGCTGAAGAGGGGTTGTTGAGGTGGTTTGGTCATTTAGAGAGAATGGATCAAAGTAGAATGACATGGAGAGCATTTAAATCTGTAGGAGAAGGAAGGCAGGCGGGGTAGGGGTCGTCCTCGAAAAGGTTGGAAGGAAGAGGTAAGGGAGGTTTTGTGAGCGAGGGGTTTGGACTTCCAGCAGGTGTGCGCGAGTGTGTTCAATAGGAGTGAATGGAGACGAATGGTATTTGGGACCTGACGATCTGTTGGAGTGCGAGTAGGGTAATATTTAGTGAAGGGATTCAGGGAAACTGGTTATTTTTATATAGCCGGACTTGAGTCCTGGAAATGGGAAGTACAATGCCTGCACTCTAAAGGAGGGGTTTGGGATATTGACAGTTTGGAGGGATATGTTGTGTATCTTTATACGTATATGCTTCTAAGCTATTGTGTTCTGAGCACCTCTGGAGAAACAGTGATTATGTGTGAGTGAGGTGAAAGAGTTGAATGATGATGAAAGTATTTTCTTTTTGGGGATTTTCTTTCTTTTTGGGTCACCCTGCCTCGGTGGGAAACGGCTGGTTTAAAAAAAAAGTAATTTTAAATGTTTTTCATTCTGCCTAGTTAAACAAATATGATGATGATGATCTGTAAGCATTTTTTTTTACTAGGCAAAAAGATCAGAAGTTACATGTGTGTCAGTTGTCTATACATTTTCCAATGCACCACACTGGTGTATGCAGTGTCAGCTTCCTTGTTAATGAAAGTGAACCATGCTTTTCTCTTCTTGGCTAAGGCTACAGTAACTTATTTAGATTATAATTAAAGTTTGAGAACCCTATATCAGAGAAACTTTATCCTGCTGCTAACTTAAGCTAACTCTGGTGCATTATGTAACGGCATCCAATAAAGGTTATATTCAATACTGCTAATACCAAAAGACATGACAATGTTGATTATATAATATTTAATGCAAATTTACACATTATATACAGCATTCCAATATTTATTTCACTAACATTACAAAAACGTTTTAAGTACACACTGTGCAATTCAACAAAAGCTCTTACCCTGATCTTGATATCTTTAGGTGCCAACTTTTTTACTTCTGAGAGTAATCGATCCCCAAAACCTTTGAACAGTGTTGATCCTCCAGAAATAACCACATTCTGGAATAAGAGCTTGCGTAGATCCATGTCAGATTTGTGGATAGCATAGAGAAGAACCTCATGTATGCCATTACTCTCATCTCCAATAAGATGTGGCTGGAACAACACTTCTGGTGCACGGAAACGTGCTTGGCCAATCTGAAGAAAAAATGTATATGTATAGTATGTATAATAAAATTCAAGGACCCATATATGTAAAATTCTGTTTCAAGTACCAGAATTTTATGTGAATCATATTCCTTGCTTTTAATTGCACAAACTATTACCCTTTGTCTTCTCCAATACCTTCAAACCCCAATACCTTCAAACCCCAGCCCTTCAAGAGGTGTCTGTTGAATTATCAGTAAAAGTAGTTCTCTCATATTTGTCCACCTGATAAGTACTGTTGAGTGGGCTACTTTGCCTTCACTGTAGACTACTGTACAGGAATGATAAACTGTAAGTTAAAAAGATAAAAGGATGCAAAGGAAAGGGGATTATAAAGTTGGGTCATATCAGGTTCGATGAATCTTGAGTACTGCACAAATATTTATAATCTTTCCCAATATACAGAAGGTCTGAGGTGCATGCTGGAAAAATCCTATTTTCTCCTCTAACCTGAACCACTGCTAATCTATTATGTGCTGGAAATAAACAAGCACGAGATTGAGCTCACTTGATATAATCCAAATACTGAAACCACACCCACTATCTCTAACGGGCACACAGTACACACGTATTCTTTAGAAAGCATGTAGTACTTTCTAAAGAACACATTTTATTTACACACGTCTGAACATGGTGCTATTGAACAGATGCCTGATGAACTTACCTCCACTGTTGATCCATCTGGTAACTGATATGAAAGTCGCTCAGTGTCAACAGTTTCTTCCCGTTGTGGGTTGGTGGCCAAATAACAAACACGTTCCTTTATAGTTTTTGCAACTTCAAATTCTGCTGTTGTGTATAAAGGTATGCCTTCCTTTCTTAGTAGTAGCTTGAGGTAACTGTAAATATAAGATTAACATGAAATGAAGATACAGTAAGGGAAGGGGGGATCACCACCACTTTTCTTGCCTGTAATTACAAGAACATCCCCACCCATAACACTTACCTAGTAACATCTCGGCCTGCAATATCTACCCTCATGATCGAATGAGGCATGGCAAAGCCTTCATAAATAGGAACAGCATGTGTTACACCATCACCCGAGTCTAGAACAACACCAGTCGTCCTTCCAGTTGCATATCTGAAAAATAAAAAACAATTGCAATGCTGTATATGATTTTCATTTTAAATATGTAAGAGTAAATACCAACATTATACAGAAGTTTTCACCCTGAACTACAGTAACAAGCAATAGACTTACAAACTTAAGACTGCTTGCACAGAGACGAAGAGGGCAGGGACATTGAAAGTTTCGAAAAATATCTCGGCAGCCTTTTCTCTATTTTTTCTGGGGTTAAGGGGTGCTTCTGTGAGTAAAACTGGATGCTGGAAAAAAAAAATTATTACATTTTCTGAAGCAAATAAAATTTTTTCATCTCAGTATTTTGCATCAAACCAATGAAAAGATATGCCATTTAAAACAATACATGGTGAAATTACATTTTGTTTTGACTACATATCTTCCTCACATTTTGTGGTATAGTCTCCATGATAAACCAACTGCTATTCCATCAAGGAAACATATTTTTACATCAGGTATTTCTGTATTATTAGGTAGTAGGTTGGTAGACAGCAACCATCCAGGGGGGTACTACCGTCCTGCCAAGTGAGTGTGAAACAAAAGCCTGTAATTGTTCTACATGATGGTAGGATTGCTGGTGTCTTTTGTCTGTCTCATAAATATGCAAGATTACAGGTACGTCTTGCTACTTCTACTTACACTTAGGTCACACTATACACACATGTACAAGCAAATATATACACACCCTTCTGGGTTTTCTGCCATTTTCTTTCTAGTTCTTGTTCTTGTTTATTTCCTCTTATCTCCATGGGGAAGTGGAACAGAATTCTTCCTCCGTAAGCCATGCGTGTTGTAAGAGGCAACTAAAATGCCAGGGGCAAGGGGCTAGTAACCCCTTCTCCTGTATATATTACTAAATGTAAAAGGAGAAACTTTCGTTTTTCCTTTTGGGCCACCCTGCCTCGGTGGGATACGGCCGGTGTGTTGAAAGAAAGGAAAGATTTCTGTATTAAATTTTGTTTAATTACACTAACCTAACATAATGTGCAGCCTCCCCTCACTTAGCGATGTACTCATTTACTGACCACTCGGACTTACGACCAGCTCTCCAACCTGTATGCAAACCTAAATGTGTATTAGAGCTGATTTCCTCTATTCTGTTTATTACAGTATACAGTACACTACTGTATAAACATTTAAAAATACACCAGAAATGTTATAAATGGTGCAAAAGTAACACTATAGTATGCTCCTCACTCAACAACCAATTCACTTACAGACCTACTCTTGGAAACGGAACCCTATTGTTAAGTGCGGAGAGGCTGGATACAGAGGGGGCCAGCACAGCTGTGTTGGTAGTGCACAATATGTCCTACAGTACAGTATATGTAATGGCCAGAGGATGCATATTTTTTGCTCTTGTGCATGTAGATAAAAGGTAAAATTTAATTATATATACAGTAGTGTATATATAATTTAATTCTACATTATAACATTATTTTAACACAATGGCCATCTCCCACTAAGGTAGGATGACCCAAAAAAGAAGAAACACTTTCACCATCACTCCCTTTACAACTGCCTTGCCAGAGGTACACCCCCTCCTTCAGAGTGCAAGCACTGTACTTCCCACCTCCAGGACTCGATTCTGGCTAACAGGTTTCCCTGAATCTTCACACTCCAGAAGCACATCAAGTTATAAAAATCATCTGCCTCCATGCACTCCTAATCTAGCATGCTCACACATGCCAGCTGGATGTTCAAACCCCTTGTATATGAAACCCTTACCTCCAACCTTTCCTGGGGTGACCCCTACCCCATCTTTCCTCCACTACAGATTTATACACCCTCCAAGTCATCCTATTTTGCTCTACCCTCCCTAAATGTCCAAGCCATATGTATATACAAAAATACTTTCACTGCATACACATCAATAAAAACTCAACATGCTTCAAGTAAACCTCATTCTTTTCAGCTCATACCATTCTACAGCATGCATTAATCTGGGGTGGAAGGAATGAGGGGTAGGGGTTATCCCAAGAATGGTTGGAGGAAGTAAAAGAAAGGAAGTAAAAATGAAGAAGAATTTAAATATAAATTCCTCTGAGTGTGTTGCATAGGAGTAAATGGAGACAAGTGGGTTTAATGGATATGCTATTGGAGTGAGAGCAAGGTAACTTTTATGAAGGGATTCAGGAAAACCCAGTTAGCTGGATTTGAGTCACAGTGGTGCGAAGGGTACTGCCTGCACTCAAGGAAGGGTGGGGATACCACAGTCAGTGTAATCTGAATTGTGATATCAGCAGACTTCTGGAATGGCAGCAATAGAATGAATAATGGTGAATGTTGTTGTTCTTTGGGTTATCCTGCCTGACAGGAGATGGCTGAGTAAAAAAATATATATTGTACTCCATAATCAAATACTCTGCTTAATAACACTTTACCCACAATCTGATGATTGTGGGTAACAGCTCTTAGCTTGCCAATAAAGTTAGGAATCCTTAACCTGTAAATAGCTTGTCAATAAAGCTAGGGATCCTTAACCTTGTCAAACCCTGTGTAAAAAAAAAAAAAAAAAAAAGATAAAGAAAGATAAAGAGAAAAAGAGAGAAAAAGAGAAAGAGAGAAAGATAGAAAGAGAATGAAAGAAAGAAAGAGAGAAAGAGAAAGAGAGAAAGAGAAAGAGAAAGAGAGTGAGAAAGAGAAAGAGAGAAAGAGAGAGAGAGAAAGAGAGAAAGAGAGAAAGAGAGAGAAAGAGAGAGAGAGAGAAAGAGAAAGAGAGATGGGCAGAAAGCAGCAACTTCACTCTGGCTGTACCCTTCTCCAGAACATCACTCCATCTGAGATCATACATACCCAGGATGACTCGAGTATGGAACACATTCGTACAGCATAATGATGTCAACGAGATAAAGTCAGTTGATCAAATGAAAATGCTGGCCCACAGATGGCTCCAACTTCATCCTGTTCCCTACTTGTATGTCTCATAACAATAAAAATGCTTTCAAATGAGCTGATGTAGGTAACAGCTCTTAGCTTGCCAATAAAGTTAGGAATCCTTAACCTGTAAATAGCTGTCAATAAAGCTAGGGATCCTTAACTTTGTCAAACCCTGTGTAAAAAAAAAAAAAAAAAAAAAAAAAAAAGAGAAAAGAGAGAGAGAAAAAAAGAGAAAAGAGAGAGAAAAGAGAGAAGAAAAGAGAGAGAAGAGAGAAAAGAGAGAGAAAAGAGAGAAGAGAGAGAGAAGAGAGTAAAGAGAGAGGAGAGAAAAGAGAGAGAAAAGAGAAAAGAGAAGAAAAGAGAGAGAAAAGAGAGAGAGAAAAGAGAAAAGAGAAAAGAGAGAAAAGAGAGAAAAAGAGAGAAAAGAGAGAGAAAGAGAAGAGAGAAAGAGAGAGAAAAAGAGAGAAAAGAGAGAGAAAAGAGAGAGAAAAGAGAGAGAAAAGAGAGAGAAAAGAGAGAGAAAAGAGAGAGAAAAGAGAAAGAGAGAAAAGAGAGAGAAAAAAGAGAAAGAGAGAGAAAGAGAGAGAGAAAGAAGAGAAAAGAGAGAAAAGAGAGAAGAGAAAAAGAAGAAGAGAAAAGAGAGAGAAAAGAGAGAAAGAAGAAAAGAGAGAGAAAAGAGAGGAAAAGAGAGAGAAAAGAGAGAGAAAAGAGAGAAAAGAGAGAGAAAAGAGAGAGAAAAAAAGAAAAGAGAAAAGAGAAGAGAAAAAGAGAAAAAGGAAAGAGAGAAAAGAGAGAAGAAAAGAGAGAAAAAGAGAGAAAAAGAGAGAAAAGAGAGAAAGAGAGAAAGAGAGAAAGAGAGAGAAAAGAGGAGAAAAGAGAGAGAAAAGAGAAGAAAAGAAGAAAGAGAAAAGAGAGAAAAGAGAGAAAAAGAGAGAAAGAAAGAGAGAAAAAGAGAGAAAAGAGAGAAAAGAAGAAGAGAGAAAAGAGAGAAAAAGAGAAAAGAGAGAAAAAGAGAGAAAGAAGAAAGAGAAAAGAGAGAGAAAAAGAAGAGAGAAAGAGAGAAAAGAAGAAGAGAGAAAAGAGAGAGAAAAGAGAGGAGAAAAGAAAAGAGAAAGAGGAAAAGAGAGAGAAAAGAGAAGAGAAAAGAGAAGAGAAAAAGAGAGAAAAAGAGAGAAGAAAAGAGAGAAAAGAGAGAGAGAAAAGAGAGAAAAGAGAAAAGAGAGAGAAAAGAAGAGAAAAGAGAGAGAAAAGAGAGAGAGAAAAGAGAGAGAAAAGAGAGAAAGAGAGAAGAGAAAAAGAGAGAAAAGAGAGAAAAGAGAGAAAAGAGAGAAAAGAGAGAGAAAAGAGAGAAAAGAGAGAAAAAGAGAGAAAAGAGAGAAAAAAGAGGAGAGAAGAGAGAAAAGAGAGAAAAAAGAGAGAGAGTGAGAGAGAGAGAGGGGAAGGGGAGGGTGAACTGCTGTAATTAAAACTTTACATGTTGTTCTTAATAATATAGAAACTAACCTCTTCAGCAAATGTTTGAAGTTGGTCTTTACTATAAATATACTGCCAGATTTTTTCCATATCATTCCAGTCTGTCACAATCCCATGCTCCATTGGATAGCTATAAAAGGAAAACATACGTTACCTTTTCAGTAAACGAGATATACGTATCAGGTATAACCCACAAGCGTCTCATGGAGAGAAAAAAAAATAGAGGAATTTAATTGTACATGTACAATATCAAACATTTAATGTGAAACTTAACTGCAGGGACAGTTAAAAAAAAATATGCAAAATGAGAAAAGTACAAGTTATGAGCTTACAGCAAAACCAAACTTTACCTAATAGTTAAGAGGCCACGATGTTCTTCTGCCTTAGGCCCAACAAATAGATCTCCCTCCAGAGCACCCGCCATTACACGCACATGCTTTATTCTTCCAATGCTAAAAAAACAAAATGGTAAAAAGCATGTTTATCTAATACATTACACTAACTACAGGTTTCATTTATGTATATAAGAAATACATTGACTATATTCTTACAGCATATTTAAATTTCAAAATAATTTTGAAATTTCAAAAGCTAAATACCACTGACAGTGCAGTTCAGCATATTTAACTTGTGTATTTCAGTAATGGAATCTGTGCAGCAAAATCATGTATCGATTACAGTATCATACAAGTATAATACAGTGGAACCCCATCACTCAAACTTAACTAGTTCCAGAAGGCTGTTCGAGTAAAGAACAAATTTTTCCAAACCAATTTTCCTGCTTGGCCCTAAGGTGACTTATTTATACATACAATATAAGAAAAAACACCAAAAAATGTTAAGAAACATGAAATAGTTTACAGTGAAGTTCTGGTAGGTCATGTTTGTTTGGTCAAGTGCCAAGAAAACGGTTGACTACTGAGCAATTTGTTTACCAAACAAAGCGTTCGAATACCGAATTGGTAAAGTATTGAGCTGTTCAAGTACGTACCAAGGTTCCACTGTACAAAATACATATAATGATTGACTGTAGGAGTACTAACATCTTTAGTGCACATCCGTTCTGATATAGTAACTTTAGAATAAGTAGTGTTAATAGATTCTGTTAAACATACAGCAGTAACAACCCTCGTCTTCCCACCCCATCCCCCAACACAAACAACTTTAAATAGTTTCCCTTGAAAAGATAATATACAAATTACAAAATATAAAACTAACAACTTCAAACTACTACCGAGTACACACAAATATCAGATAAGGAAAATACAAAGTACGTACTAATTTGGAAAATGGCATTTTGGAGTTTGGTCACCTGCAAAACCGGCTTTAATTACACCAGAGCCCTGAAACAAAATACAAAGAATTATACAATAATTTAACATATCAACTGCTTCCCACCAAAATTGAGTGATCCTAAAGAGGAAACACATTCACCATCACCTGCCCTTAGCTGTTTTCCGTAAGTGCAAACTTACTACTATGCAATGACCCACCGAACCATAACATCTCTCTCTCAGCTCACATACTGAGTGTCCGTGGTTCAGCCCCTGGCATGGATGGAAACGTTGGGCATGTTTTCTTACACCTGTTGTCCCTGTTCACCTAGTAGTAAGTACCTGGGTGTGAGTGGACATTTGTGTATTGCATTCTGGGAGATAAGATTAAGGACCTCACTGGAAATAAGACAGTCTCTGATGACACACTAACTTTACTGGGTTATCCTGGGTGACTACCCCTCTGGGTTAAACCCAAACAAAATTTTATCTTATCTTACCTTTTAAGTTACAAGAACTACTCTCCATTACCAATACTTAGCAATCATTCTTCTAAATTTCTTCATATTTAAGGTAGCTATTACAATATGTACCATGTCTACACTAACAGAACACAAAATATCAATCTAAAATATTCACAATTCGTATTCTTTGCTTAGCTTTCCCACCAAACGCAGACAACACTGAAGTACCTCCAGCCCTCCTCAATACAACAATCAGAGATCATGCCTCACACCCAGATCAATTGTTGGCATAACTATATAATACTCTAATTTATTTTTTTTTTCAAGTCGGCCGTCTCCCACCGAGGCAGGGTGACCCAAAAAGAAAATACTTTCATCATTCAACACTTTCACCTCACTCACACATAATCACTATTTTTGCAGAGGTGCCCAGAATACAACAGCTTAGAAGCATATACGTATAAAAAAACACAACATATCCCTCCAAGCTGCCAATATCCTGAACCCTTCCTTTAGAGTGCAGGCATTGTACTTCCCATTTCCAGGACTCAAATCCGGCTATATAAAAATAACCGGTTTCCCCGAATCCCTTCACTAAATATTACCCTGCTCACACTCCAACAGCTCGTCAGGTCCCAAATACCATTCGTCTCCATTCACTCCTATCGAACACGCTCACACACGCTTGCTGGAAGTCCAAGCCCCTCGCCCACAAAACCTCCTTTACCCCTTCCTTCCAACCTTTCCGAGGACGACCCCTACCCCGCCTTCCTTCCCCTACAGATTTATACACTCTCCATGTCATTCTACTTTGATCCATTCTCTCTAAATGACCAAACCACCTCAACAACCCCTCTTCAGCCCTCTGATACACTCATAATTTGTTATCCATTGGTAAACAGCTTTCTTTCCAGGTCCTTCAGCACTTCTATTGTACTTTCTTTTATGATTCACTTTCTATCTGATGAGAAATCCATTCCCAATTATTTAAAAAGTTACCATTTCTATATGCCTTTTTTCTTTCAATCTGCCATCTAAAATTTCATTCCTTAAATTAAATAACTTCTTACTCTCATTACCTTCCTTTTTTCTCTACTCACTTTTGACTCTCTCTTGTATACCCTTCCAAACTTCTCCAACTTCTTTTCCAAATCTCCTAAAAAGTCATTATGAAAAAGCAGCTGAGACGCCTCATACTCTATACATCAGATTCATTATCTTCAAAGCTAGCTCATCATCCCAATACCCAAGCATTCACTTATTTTAAACTCTATCTATAAAGGCCACTGTGACAACACATTCATGTTTAAGGTTTACTTTTACTGGAAAAAACGTCTATACACACAAGGAATCAGGAAGAAAAAGAAGAGTTTATTTAGATTAACTCACAGTTAGTAATAGACAATCAGCCATATTTCCACTGGGGTCTTTAATCATCTGCCCTAGGAAGTGACTTGCACCAACTGACTGACACCCAGGTACCTACTTACTGCTAGGTGAACAGCAGCAACAGGTATAAGGAAACATGCCCAATATTTCCACTTATCCAGGGAACAAAACCTGGTCCCTCTGTGTGTAATCTGAGGTCACTACCAAGCCAAGAGAACCCTCCAGTTTCCTCTTAATGGGAGACCTGCAAATGACTACTGACTAACAAATCCTCTAAACATCTCTATTTAATCTATGAACAAATTATGCACACAAAAAGTCTCGAGAATGAAAAAGTACCGATTTATTAATCGGTACTTTTGAGTTTAGCTATAATCTATTAGGTACTTCCTAAAATACTGAGTGAAGCATGCAATGGAGATAGTTATAATTTGTGTGTATGGGGAAGAGCCATCCAAGCTATCCTAACTTAAGCTATTATTCAAGTATATTTTCAAGTATAAATCTGTAGGGGAAGGAAGGAGGGGTAGGGGTCATCCTTAAAAAGGTTGGAGGGAGGGGGGTAAGGGAGGTTTTGTGGGCAAGGGGCTTGAACTTCCAGCAAGTGTGTGTGTGAGCCTGTTAGATAAAAAGGAGACGAATGGTTTTTGGGATTTGACAGGCTGTTGGAGTGAAGAGATTCACGGAAACCGGTTATTATAGATACAGTGGACCCCCGCATACCGTTGGCATCACATAACGTTAAATCCGCATACCGATACATTTTATCGCTAAGACTTTGCCTCGCATACCGCTAAAAAACCCGCTCAACGCTATTCGTCCGAGACGCGTCTAATGTGCGGCCTGAGCCAGCCTCACATGTTCCGCCGGTGGCATTGTTTACCAGCCAGCCTCCGCGGTAACATCAAAGCATACAATCGGAACATTTTGTATTATTACAGTGTTTTTGGTGATTTTATCTGCAAAATAAGTGACCATGGGCCCCAAGAAAGCTTCTAGTGCCAACCCTACAGGAATAAGGGTGAGAATTACTATAGAGATGAAGAAAGAGATCATTGCTAAGTATGAAAGTGGAGTGCATGTCTCCGAGCTGGCCAGGTTGTATAGTAAACCCCAATCAACCATCGCTACTATTGTGTCCAAGAAAACGGCAATCAAGGAAGCTGTTCTTGCCAAAGGTTCAACTGTGTTTTCGAAACAGAGATCGCAAGTGATTGAAGATGTTGAGAGACTCTTATTGGTGTGGATAAATGAAAAACAGATAGCAGGAGATAGCATCTCTCAAGTGATCATAAGTGAAAAGGCTAGGAAGTTGCATGAGGATTTAATTAAAAAAATGCCTGCAACTAGTGATGATGTGAGTGAATTTAAGGCCAGCAAAGGTTGGTTTGAGAGATTTAAGAAGCGTAGTGGCATACATAGTGTGATAAGGCATGGTGAGGCTGCCAGTTCGGACCACAAAGCAGCTGAAAAATATGTGTGCAGGAATTCAAGGAGTACATAGACAGTGAAGGACTGAAACCTGAACAAGTGTTTAATTGTGATGAAACAGGCCTGTTTTGGAAGAAAATGCCAAGCAGGACCTACATTACTCAGGAGGAAAAGGCACTCCCAGGACATAAGCCTATGAAAGACAGGCTTACTCTTCTCATGTGTTCCAATGCTAGTGGTGATTGCAAAGTGAAGCCTTTATTAGTGTATCACTCTGAAACTCCCAGAGCGTTCAGGCAAAAGAATATCCTCAATGCTAATTTGTGTGTGCTGTGGAGGGCAAACAGTAAGGCATGGGTCACTAGGGACTTTTTCTATGACAGGTTACACCAAGCATTTGCCCCCAATGTGAAAAATTACCTAACTGAAAAGAAATTAGACCTTAAGTGCCTCCTGGTGTTAGACAATGCCCCTGGTCATCCTACAGACGTGGCAGAGCGACTTTGTGGGGACATGAGCTTCATTAAGGTGAAGTTTTTGCCTCCTAATACCACTCCTCTCCTGCAGCCCATGGACCAGCAGGTTATTGCAAACTTCAAAAAACTGTACACAAAAGCTCTGTTTGAAAGGTGCTTTGTAGTGACCTCAGAAACTCAATTAACTCTAAGAGAGTTTTGGAGAGAGCACTTTAATATCCAAAATTGTGTAAACCTTATAGGTAAGGCTTGGGAGGGAGTGACTAAGAGGACCTTGAACTCTGCTTGGAAGAAACTGTGGCCAGAATGTGTAGACCAAAGGGATTTTGAAGGGTTTGAGGCTAACCCTGGGAATCCTATGCCAGTTGAGGAATCCATTGTGGTATTGGGAAAGTCCTTGGGGTTGGAGGTTAGTGGGGATGATGTGGAAGAGTTGGTGGAGGAGGACAATGAAGAACTAACCACTGATGAGCTGCTAGATCATCTTCATCAGCATGAGGCCAGACCTGAGGAAACTGCTTCGGAGGAGGGGAGAGAGAAACTGAAGAAGTTGCCTACTTCAAAGATTAAGGAAATGTGTGCAATGTGGCTTAAAGTGCAAACCTTTTTTGATGACAATCACCCTAACACAGCTATTGCAAGCCGTGCTGGTGACTATTACACTGACAATGTTGTGAACCACTTAGGAAAGTCATAAAGGAATGGGAGGTACAGGCCTCTATGGACAGATATGTTGTGCGACAGAAGTCCAGTGACTCTGAAGCTGGTCCTAGTGGCATTAAAAGAAGAAGGGAAGTAACCCCGGAAAAGGACTTGACACCTCAAGTCTTAATGGAAGGGGATTCCCCTTCTAAACACTAAGACTCTCTCCTCCTCCCATCCCATCAATCATCACCAGATCTTCAATAAAGGTAAGTGTCATGTAACTGTGCATGTCTTTTTCAGTTTGTGTGTATTAAAATTAATATTTCATGTGGTAAAATTTTTTTTTTTTCATACTTTAGGGTATCTTGCACGGATTAATTTGATTTCCATTATTTCTTATGGGGAAAATTCATTCGCATAACGATAATTTCGCATAACAATGAGCTATCGGGAACGGATTAATATCGTTATGTGGGGGTCCACTGTATAGCCGGACTCGAGTCCTGGAAATGGGAAGTACAATGACCGCACTTTAAAGGAGGGGTCTGGGATATTGACAGTTTGGAGGGACTTCTAAACTGTCATATCCGAGCACCTCTGCAAAGAGTGATTATGTGTGAGTGAGGTGAAAGTGTTGAATGATGATGAAAGTATTTTCCTTTTG